AGCGAATATCGATTTGTTGAAAAATTTGAACAAATCAAGGTGTCGTGCACGGGCTTAGGATCGCGAACAGTTTGAAGGGGCACACTCAGACTGGACAGCCTATATAGATATCCCCTCCAGACGACGAGGAGACTCGGTGCAAACGAGTGATCCAGGAGAAAGCCTCTCGTTCGATTGGCCCCACGAACCGGTATAAACTGAGACAATTCCAGGTATCTTTTTCCATCGAGTAATACCACGCATCCTTCCACCGTTGCTCTGAAAAGTACACATTTTTCTTAGAGAAATTCACTCAACCGTTGGTGAGAGCACTCCTCCTTTTGTTTCGAGATATATTTATTTGCAATCGACAATTCGTCAAATCTCTTTATGTATTTGGGTGTATTAAGCTGAGAGATATGGTTTGAAGAAAAAAATTGGTAATAATTGAAATGGATTTTGGAAAACTTTGATTTTAATCAAGTTCAATGGATCTCATATAAATATATGATCAAAAATAGAATTCTAAATTCTGATTCTGGTACTTAAGTCTTAAGAAGGTATTAATATTCCTCGTTTCATAAATATGGTATAGAAAAGACTAGTTTACCTTTACGCAACCATTTGGATTTGCAGAAGTTAAGCACGTTCTAAGTCACTCTGCTCGTCGAACTCGATTCACGTACGAGTTGAACGTTGCATCGATCGAACGTTACGATCTAATGGATCACGAAACTCCATCGATTCGTATAGACGTGCTCGTCGATCAGGATGATCCAATTGCCAATCGAAATAGATCCTGATTTCTTAATTTATTTCTCTATATATTGATAAAGATGAAGATCAGTGTAAATTTGCGAATATTTTCTAGATTAAATGTCTTTTAACGCAAATGATAAGTAAAGATTAGCAAAAATGAAAGTGATATTCGTGCGACAAATATGAAAGATATAAAGAAAAATACATAAGTAAAAAGTAATTAGGATTTTACGTTAAAAATACGTTTAAGGATAATCAGTAAGTAATAAAACAATTTAAGATAAATTTACATCGATGATACTTACTACTTTTGCCCTTATGTAAATCTCATTATTTATACAATCGTTATTTTCTCTTTCGTTCTAGAAATTTGAAAAATATTCCACTTAGAATCCAATAAATGATGTTGTTAAATTTTCTAAACTATATTTAATTGTAATCATAATTAGATTATTTACCTCTTAATTAAATATGCCTCTAAATTCTCAATTCTAGATTTCAATACTTCCAATATTTTTTTCAATATTTTGCTGGTTGCAATTTAATATAACATTACGCAAAAAAAGACACTAAAATCCTATCGTATCACGCTACATACATCGTTATCTAATATTCATTTTTCATTCGCGATCATCCTTCGCGTTACTTAAGCAACGAATTAAAATATTCTACACCTAATCTAATATAAGATTTCACGAAACATCACCGTTCGAACGGATCGAATTTCAAGCAGCTTTTCCGAGCACGAGGTATAACCGTCAGTTTGAACGAGAGAAGTGAGAGGTGGCGCGCTTGTAGAGCATGTTACGCAACCCAAGCGATATACCGATCGTGGGTCACTCACTTGGCCACAGCTTGCACGGTGCTTCCATGCGTTATGATTCTCCGTCCAGGAAGAAAAACTTCGTCGCAAGGCAGGACGCCTTTTATCGAAGACAACTCAACCTAAATCGAACGTAACGGTCGTTAATAGAAGAATTATATAACGGTATATCGTTCCCTACCCCATTATATTCCAGTCGAACGGAATATTCTTGCTAATTGTATAACTTTTTCCGTTTCACTGAAAGAATAGCATTTACAAGTGGTATTATAATGGTATAAGTGGTACAAAGTAGTATGGACGCGTGTAGGTTGCTGGTAGTGGGACAACGATGACAATACATAACGTTCTTTTGCCATTCTAGGAACGGTATCGCGTAATCGAAATAAGTCTATGCTGAACAATTGGAAAAACTAGTTGTAGCCAAGATCACGTCTCGCTAGGCATTGTCAGGAAATGCGTCAACTGTAGACGTCATTATCGTTTCCTTTTTATCCTCTCTCACGCTATGGACCAACGTAACTTTCAATGTCCTTGTTTCGAAACTCTTACATCTCGCGTTTTATTAGCATTACTGATAAAAAGAGTAAATTATACATATGCTAATACGTAGATCAATATTTTATCGTAATTTCTTCGTATTAAAATTCGAAATCGGTTAAATTAAAAATATCCTCGTTAAATAGAATCCATCAATTATTCATATTTTTTTTAATAAAAAAAAAAATTATTCTGAGAAGAATTGCAACATCAAGGTGTTATCTTGGTTGAATTGATTACACGTTTGATCGTTTCTCTCTGGTGATCGGAGGTCCTACTCCTTCTTGCGAAATTTAAAAGCGTACAATGAGAAGGATTCGAAGGAAGCCGAGGGGAATCCGCGAATTCAATGCCCGGATACACGGCGAGCTGTGATGATTACACGGTATCCAGTACCATTCCGCTCCCATGTACTCGACCCCTCTGTTGAAAGGCTCAGAGATAACGTGTCATCCTTCGCATTGTCTCCGTCTCTTATGCGAATTTTTTAATGTGTGCGTTGCATCCCGATTCTAAAATCGCGCGTAATTTAAGGTCGTCGAGTACGCCCTAAATAAGAGCCGTGTAGAGTTGTACGCACACGTGATTACGTTAACTCGTGTGATCCGCACACATGCGCACATTGCGTCGAAACAAAAGCACGTATGAGCGTGCGGTGGATACACGTAGAAAATTGCATTTTGTCGTGTGGCACTGGTGAAAGGGAAAAGATACCGGGCAGACCTAGATACCTCGGATCTCTTTATCGGATCTCATTTATATTCAACAAAGTTGTTTTTAAGATTTTTCATTTTCTTCCTTGTTGCAAACATTTTTATGCCACTTGATATTTATAATAATTTTCATGATGGTAGACTGTAATAATAATAAAAATAATATAACTTATAACTGTGTTTGGATATGTGTTATAAGTTTATAAGATTGTTGTGTGATTTGTTACACGGATAAAATATATTACGTTTCGCTATTTCACGTTTGTATTTTTCTAATAATTTAATCACTATGTAATTTGGCAAGTAATTAAATTCAAGTTTTTACAGACGTAAAAAAAGAAGGATAGAATAAGAGGAGTGTCCCATTTGTTTTGTCGGAATTTATTCGTTCCGTTGTTCATGATTTGTTTTATTGATGCGAAACTTTCTGCCGATACTTATTTTTATGCACACAAGCCTATCGGAAATCACTAATCAAACTCGCATTTTTAACGCCTCTCCTTTCTATCTTTATATATAGTAGACGAATTTTTACCAGTTTTTATCAGGACAATGCGTGATTTAAGAATTAATCTTGCACGTAACAAAAAAAAAAAAAAA